GATCTTAGTCCTACAAATCTTGTGTACTTGTCTGCCCGAGCAACTTCAAGCAGCAGTCCACAAAGGCCTGGTCCAGATGGTGAGGCAACGAAGTGGACTGCTGAGTTGCAGGGGCTGGGCATTATATGACTGCGGCAGAGAGACGCGTGTTTGTCTGTAAGTAAGAAGGGTGAGTTGAAAAGGACTCACGCAGTAGAGGGGGTCAACAGCCGCTTGCTGTCTGAGGTATCGTGTCCAGATTCAGTTCGGTGGTGAAAGCAAGGCCGGAAGATGCCAAAACTTGCGGTTCTCTTCGTGTCCACATTCACCTGGGGCTTTGGTCTAGAGTCCAGCAGCTAGGGTCGCTTCGCCGGATCCTTCACCAGAGCTTGCATTTGGAAGGTTCTGGCCGTGAAGGAACGAAACTTGCGTTGGGGAGCCCAGCTGGTAGATGCTGAACGGAACCCCTGAGGCCAAGCAGTGCATGCCTCGGCCTTTCGGACACTTTGACCGCGCGCTGCTGCCGCCTTCAGCTGCCCTTCTTTCTACTCTGCTTCTGTCGAACTTGGCACCTCTGCTCGTGCAACTTCCTGGACTCCCTTGCGGTTACTCGAAGTGCTTTCTTCAATGTCTGCGTAGCTCACGGTGCGGTGCAGCGTGCTTCCCTCGCATCATGCCTGACCCGGATACGACAAAAGCTGCAAGCGCAGTGACCGTGCTTGTGCCCTAAGGAAAGCTCCAGAGCTGACGCAATTCTCCCAAGGATGCCCTTGTGGTATCCTTCTTGTAGATCGTGCGCTGATAGCCCTGTAGACTATGCGCTGTCCTACGGGGGCCAAAAGATCGAGAAAAGGCTTCGGAAATAAACTGTGGAAGCCGTCTATGGCGAGTTGGGGGTGCCAGAGGAAACTTAGGTTATGCTTGTCTTGACCCTTGTATGGCATGCTACATGGAAGTGGCGCAAACTGCCGTTTGGCACGGAGCTGTGCTTTGCCGGATCCAAATATCCAATTCGCGACCAGCCCCCATAAAGCCGCCAAACCAGCCGGACCGGCAGAAGATACGATGCTGTTGATGGCCATGCTGGCCTTTACTGTAGATGCTCTGTTGGCGGCCTTATGATCCTGCATCTCCCACTTCAGCTTCAGCTCCTGCCTTTGTCGCAGTACTAGCAGCGGCACGGCAAAAAGATGAGCCGAGATTCCGACGGTCATCAAGACATGTTCATCTATGCCCTTTACAGCACAGCAGTATGGCCATAGCCAAGGCCATATGAGTACAGCTAAGATAAACACGGGCAGCGTAAACACTCTAGGCCCAGGCAGCGAGCTTCAACTCTCGAGAAGGCCGCTTTTGCTCCGACAAGCGAGTATCTGGGAAGCGCATGCACGAGTACATATTCGCGGAGCTTTAGAGGATCGCACGCACACACGAAAGGCTTGCCCAGTCTGCTGAGATCATCTGTCCGTGGATAGTGTACTATACTATCTTTGATACCCAGACGTTTAGTTCGATTTTGATTGGTCGTCGATTGTGCCAATTGCGTGTTAATGTGTACATGTGCGTAAGTTAAGGAAGTGTTTTGATATGTTAGGACGCCTAGGGCCTAGGTAATTTTCATGATCAAGTAGCTCATAGTTGCCGATATTCGTTCTCTGCTGATCCGAGACATTCTGTGAGTGACATGCGACTGGCTTGAGGATGCCAAGAAGGCCATGCAGGCCTACGCAACCTGCAGACATGCAACGCCTCATCGCGTGAGGCTTAACAGCTTCGCTGGTTTAGAGCTTTCTGCTTGTGGCTGGCTGCGACTGCATGGGTTGCCGGTGGCTGCAAAACTCGCTTCATTCGCGGTGCGGAAAGACCCAGCGTCCTTCCGGTTCCGGGCACCGCCGGTAGGCGCTTGCTTGGGCATATTTCTCACTCGAGGATCGACGGCGACCTGGGGCTGTACGCAGCGAGGCCGAGCACATTAGAACCAGCACGCAGTTAAAGGGTTGATTGATAGTTAGTAACTTGCTCATAGTCCGAAGCTTGCAGATCAAGCTTCCGGCGTCCTCCGAATCTCAGTTCCGTGTGAGCTGAAAGCACCCGTTCACTTCCCGGTAGCTACACCCGTGTCGTCCATTAGCTTCAAAACCTCTTGGTTTCAGTGGAGGTCGAATTGCGACAGACGGAAACTTACTGCCGAGGTTCCCATGTTGAGCCTCCTTATACCCGCGCCCCTAGACTGAGATGTCAGATCCGAAAAGTAAGGAGGGAGGTGTTGGATGCTCTTCTTGGGGTTCCATATAATCGGAGCATGCGGGTCTCTTATCGTCTGCAACTCCCAAACTTAAACCCATTTAGATCCTAAGCGCACGAATCTAGAGCAGGTGCTGCCTGCCAACCAGCCCGGCTTGCCAATTCATCTACCAAGGCAGGTTTATGGTTTCGTGATGTTTCGAGGGGACCATGTCCTCGGTCTAAACATTATCAATGTTGCTGCGGGCTTTTAGTTACTTTAGTTGAAGACAGAATCTCCCACATCATCACTAGTACTATACAATATATTTTCACTCTTGAATACCATTGCGCTATGTATACGTGTAGCATCTCTTGGAAGCAGTGCTTCCGAACATGTGCGCGAAAAGGTGCTCAGCTGTGGTCTTGTGGTTAGCCGTTTTGGTCGTAACAGTTCTTGGGGTCGGCATTCGGTGATTCACTGCGACTTAGCAAAGTCTGCCTGTCGATGAGAATCTGCTTGAAGCTTTCTAGATCTGCTGACGAACAGGTCCGGGATTGGGGGGACAGGAAGTCTCCAGAGTTTGGATTTGCGTTGTTTCGACAAAGTAGTGTTGCGTGGGACTAGCTGATACTGTGTGTTGTCTGTAACCCGAATGGGGCGCACAATTTAGGCCAAGCCTGATTTCAATCTGAGCTGCCATGATCATTCAGAATCATGAGTATGGAAGTGCCGCTTGTTTTGTGTGCAAGGCGAGGTGTTCGCCATGGAGGCTGCGGGGGGAGCTTGAACTGAGGGAGGCCCAAGTACGCAGGGAGGAGGCCCTTTGAAGGTTTCAGAGTAGGCTTTTGCGACTCCATCCACCTCAACTATCATGACTATTATCCCCGACATCGTTACTTTGCTTATTGCGAGGTCTCATGGTAAAAATCGTTGGAACTTGTACCCCTCGCCTCCCAAGCAAAGCACCGCCAACCCGTTGCCCACCTGTGCCATGGCAGATGGCGCGGTGAGTTCTTCAACGTGTGCCTTGGCATCATGCAGCGAACGCAGGTAGAGTCTCATGCGATCCTGGCCATAGTCAGAATGATTACATGCCCTATAAGCCCAAAGCGAACGACAGATGAAAGATCGAAGACGGGGCAACCTGCCGTACCTCTCCGAAGGTAAGGTCTTCCGCGGGTATGCAGTTGTATGGGTAGAATTACCGAAGTCATGGACAGTTTGGTCATCAGGCAGACGAAGTTGCAACAGCATGTGTCCTGCGCGCTTGGCAAAGGCTCTTGGCTGGATTCAGCATGCCGTGGAGGAAGATCCTGCGGTGGAGGCCGGTTGGCCATTTGACCACTGCTCCTGCAGGAGATGTTTGTGGCGAAGACTCATACTAACATCATGGTGAAAGATGTCCCTTGTCCTCGCTATGGCCGTCCTAAATTATGGTGCTCGTAGCCGCCATCGTCGCACAGAACCAGAAGGTGAGGAGGAGGAGGAGGAGGAGGAGGAGGACAACCTGGTGGGGATTGCAGCAGAGGTTTTGGGTTTCGTGGCCTTATCTCGAGGTCGGGGACTGGGCATACCTGATTATCCATAGCTTGGTTGAAGTATTCGTCCGAGCTTCGGTGAAACCTGGAATGGTATGCCGCGGCCTTCGCAACACTTGTTGCCGAGGGCATTGCTAGTTACCGCGAGTTTGGCGACTTCAGACCGGGACTTTAGAGATCGCGAACTGCCGGGTGACACTGTGTAGGCACCATGGCTTCCGCCGCAAGCTCAATGTCGAGCATCGCGCCAAGTCAAACTGTGGGGTAGTCCCGAAATGTGAGCATCTCTCAAGCGCCTCTCACAGTAAGGATGTGTGTTGTGAGCCTGTATCTGCTCATGCTTTAAAGCTTCAGGATGTTTCCTCGCGGTCCAACTGAGTTAAGGTTTTCGAGTCCTTCCTACTCATCCGCCTGGCTCTGAGTGAGACATCTTGCACTACCGAAATTGGAGCATTCCTGCAAGCTCAGTGTGTTTCAGACGAAATCGCATCCCCAATTCTCAGACGCCAGAAGCTCCTCAAGATCGAAGCCTTCGACGTGTTTGAAGTACTCTTCTGGAGATTGTTTCTTTTCATATAGAGCATAGGTGCAAGTCGGCTGGCATACATATTTCCAATACATATTATGAATGCATGTATGCATGCATGTGTGCATGTATGTTTGCATATTTATGACAGATGCATGAGTGTATGACGCTTCAAACTCCTCGCATATAGATTTGGCCCAGAACCACAAGCCCAGGAAGCAGATCGAGTGGCCGGTGAGCAGTTGCCGTGTCGGGTGCGCCACCGGTTTCCTACATATGCAAGTTCGAAAGCCAGAAAGTAACGATAAGCAATGGAGATGCGAATCGGTCAAGTTTGTGAAGACGAGGAACTGCAGTAGTGTTTATTCATTTACGATTATGCTAGACTGCTGGACCTTCTCCATCATGCAATAGTCGAGGTGGTGTAGCTATCCAGATGTCGATGTAGGCTTTTGGTTTAGATTCAGCACGAATTCGTGGAGCTAGGCTTTGCAACACATCACGACCTCGAAAGAGCCTGCATCAATGACATGTCCTGGAAGAAAGCCTGCGGATTGCCGGGGAGTCCCCGTCGACCCGCCATCTTTCTCAATCAAGCGTGATGCACACACCAGGGGGAAGAGCCTGCCAAACTCTCGCAGTTGCAGAAAGATTTGTCCAGCTACTACTCAGCCATTCCTTAGTCGTTTCGCATAGATGTGCCTCGACGCCCACTCGCGCTGAGTGGGGCATGGTGCCATCTCCGATGAAAAAGTGCTTCGTCAGACTTGAGTAGGGTGGTCATTCGAGCAGATGTGTGTCTGGACCTCGCACCGTCTACGTTCAGGAAAAAGAGCGCCTGGCATGGCAAGCAGGATTCAGAAGCAGCTGCTGCAGACAAGCAGCCAAAGACAGCTAGGCGCGCGCTCGCACGAGAAGGTATCTGTTGTTAAATTAGGAGTAATTGCAGGGGCTGGATAAAGTACTCATGCTGATCGTACACATCGTAAACCACGCACCCAAGACTTGACAAGCTAAATGACTGTCGGCCAGGAGAAAGGGAAAAGTGCGACAAACACAGACGCCGGAGATTCTCGCGAAGCCTGCAGGAACTGACGGACCTCTCACACCGAGGCCGACCCTGGCCTTGAGACTAGAACTGCAATGGTGTTACACGAGAGTTATGAGCACACAGCACACACCAGCGACATTTCTAAAACAATCATCACATGCAGTGGTGTAGGCAACAATTGTCATCGGCATCATCTGCACTATCATGACCATGTCCATGGGTCTTGGTGCATACTCCTTGCCATGCATGTTTCTTTTGTGCTGGTTTCGTACTTCTGGCCCAGCCACCCAGTCAAAGAAGCTCAGGAAGAAGACCAAAAAGAGGCTCAAGAAGCCCAGGAAGCCAGTTTCAGAAGAAAGTGAGGACAGCCCAGCAGAGTTCGTGCCTGCCCAGCTTCTTGCCTGAATCCATAGATTGGTAATGATGAACAGAGTAGGGTTATCACAAAACCCCGCAAGCAATGTCCCACGAAGCTGTGACCCACTGGGCACGCAGCAGCCCAAGCATCTTCATGAAGATATAATAGAATAAGGCCGAATCGCACACAAAATACCCGAGCACCCTGCGGTCGTTGCATCCATATCCCTAAACCAATCCCAGGCGAAACATGGACAAGATTGCTGCCATGCTTGAGAGGGCTGAGCAGGAAGAGGCCGAGGAAGAAGAAGAAGAAGAAGCACCTGCCCCGTGGCTGCCAAAGAGAAATTCTGGCGACGCATCCCAGAGCTTCTTGACGATTGTGACTCTTTTTGCTAGTGTTATTGTTGGATGGTACTGTAGCCCAAATTCTGCAGGCTGCTAGCTGTGCTAGCTCTAGCTTCTGGCACAGTCGACAGGAGCAGTTCCAAACAAGTCGCTCAGCTTTCGATCAGCTTTCAGGCCAAGCGTCGGAAAGGGCTCAAGGGCCTTATCGTCACTGGGCCGCACGGCATGTTCACGGAACCCCAAATCCAGCGCGGTGCGCTTTGCCATTCGCATCACTATGATGGTAAGAGCTCTAAGTTCGCTCTACTCTGATGACATCATGCCGAGGAGAAGAAGCATCTTGGCGAAGATGGTTGTAGCCTTTTGGAACCCATCGCATTGAGTTCAGGGATCAAGGTTCGGCGTTTTGGGCAGCTTCCCCTCGTCTATGTTGTGGAGCACGTCTTCTCCAAAACCTCAGACCACGAGACGTCTTTTCGGCGATTGGGTTGTGCTTGAACCCGGTCCTTTAGTATTCTTCTCGTCATCTGCCAGGAAGGAGCTGAAAAAGCAGCAGCGGAAGGACTGCCGTGTTTGATTCTGCAGGTGCCTGCGGCGGCGGGCCAAAGTGCAGTTCGAAGGTCTTCCTGTGAAACAGGTCAGCAGGACCTATAGCGGTTTGCGCGCAGTTTTGGAAGAGCTGAAGCCCGAGGCTATGAAATGGGAACCCAGCATGGTTCAAGGCTTCTTGGGACGTCCCATAGTTGTGGAGACCTCAACGATGACTAGACATGTTCATCGTCACTCCTGGGGCTAGAGAGGATTGATCGTGCTTGTTCGCAACCTGAGACCTCAAACCCCAAACTCCGGTCCGTGCTGTCCATTAAGCAACAAGCCTAATTGAGCGTTTTGGGACCCCAAGTTCAAGCCTAAGCGCACCTTCTTCGCACCTTCCCGACACTCCGCCGCCTCAGAGGAGCGCCAGACGGCCGAGCTGGGCAGACCTATGACAGCTAAGGAGAAGCTGAAGTTGAAGCTGAAGCGGCCCGACTTGGCTGGGGGGCTTTTCGCTGAGCGGGGCATGAGCATGCACCGTAAGGGTTGACCGTGATTGAAGTGCTTGCCTAGAGTTTGGGGAATTGGGGGTTCGGTGTTCGGGCTTGGGATTGCTGGATTGAGGGGCATGAGACAGTAAATGACCGAGATTTAGAGTTCTTTGCCCGAGTACTCACTGCACTTGGCACATCATCGTTGCTGTAGCTAGCAGCTAGACCCCAGAGGTCATCATGCTGGTGTTGTTTGGCCGTCCTATGGCGTCAGGAGGCTTGCATTAGGAAGCGTGAGCGCTGTTCGGATTGGAACACCCGGGACAATCATCGATGTAGCTAAGAATCCAGTTGTCGAAATAGTTTCAAATTACCACTGAGTGATCCAGAAAGAGGTCGGATACCCGAGAACTCCCAGTTTGCACTTTTGGCGTCTTCTCACCATGCTGCTATGTTTATTCGTTTTCTTTTTTAGTTCAATCACCCGGCGAGGGCACAACAGGGATGGCAAAAGTCAATAGGAATAGGAAGGGAGATCGTTTCTATTTTCGACCCCTGGGCGCAGGCACTCAGAGTCTGAAGTGTTGTGACAGAGGAGATGCCTGAACTGAGGAATATCCGGGAGCACTCGCACCCGCAGCTCATGCCTCAGGCATCGCAGGCTTATCATGTCGGACTGGGAGTCTGAGGCTTCGGCACTTCAGCTTTGTATTAATGCTCCCAGGGCCTGTTGTTGCTTGGGTCGGAGCATACCGAAGATCAGCTTCAAGCCAGGAATCGGAACACGTGACACTAGTTATTCCGTGTGATGAATACGACGAAGCACGTAGATCGAAGGATACAGTGTTCAGTGTTCGTTCTCAAGAACGGCAAGTGAGTGAGGCAAGTGTTAGGAAGAGCATGTCAGGGAACCAAATACAGAGAACAGCGGGGTTCATCAGAAGACGAACGGCCCCAACATTCTTCGTAGGTGGGTGCTTTGAAACACTCCCTCTTCTCGGGAGGGATCTCCGCTTCAAAGTCCTCATCCTCAGCTCAAAGACTGATGATACCCAAGGCGGAAAGAGAGAAAGCAGGCGGCCTCTTTGCCGGAGCCCCGTGGCGAATGACATGAGAGCCAGTGGGGCTGTGGCGGTGATGCGTATTTAGCCAGTGAGAAACCGTCGCATGGTATCGTATGGTCATGTTGATCGCAAGATGAGTTAGAATGAACACCCCGTTATCTCCATGCATGGCTGAATCCAAGGAACAACGCCAAATCTCATTCGGTCAAATCGACGCCTTGCATGTTGCTCGGTGGAAGGTTACTGTTGGACATTTTGAGCACGGTACATGCCCTTCGTTGCCTGCCCCATGGCACTTCCACACCCCTATGATAGCTGAATGACTCCTTGAAGCTTGTTCTTGTGAGCCACCAGGCTGCAAGAGTACTAGTCTCTTTGGTGTCGTTTTCAGGCCTGGCGACTGTCTCCCCGCTTCGACGCTCAGCTCAGGTATGTGCAGAAGGGGCAGAACTGTCCTCATGAACGGTGCCGTTTCTCACACGATGTTTGAGTCCACACCGTGATCTCCGGCGAGAGACTGCAAAGCAGCCTGTGCAAGACCGGATGGGACCTAAACTTTCGTTTGGTCCGCCCAGGAAACAGCTGACTCGGTGAGCGCTTGCTTCCCTTGGGCATGGGCAGTCATGGAACACTTAATAGTTGTGTGAAAACCGTGCATATCTGCGAACATGCAGTGTGCTGAAGAAAGTCAATGCAAGTTCGGCTGCGAACCTTGCTGGCAGTTGCACGCTTTTGCGCGAGGTTCTCGCCTTCTATTTGGTTACGACCGTTTCCATCTCAGATCGGCAGCAGTAGCTGTAGCTTGTTTGGAATCTTCAGTTGTGAGGTAAGTTGTTTCGGGTTTGTTGCCAGGTCGTGAGATTCTCGCACATTGCCTGCCAGCGTTCATCTCAAACGACGCAGGGACCCCCCTCCCGCCTCCATGATGACCGTACCGCTCCTCCATTTTACTTTGATCCACCTTGGACTCGCGGGTCGGGCAGAGCTCAGCCTCCTGCAGCACACACTGACACTTGACGCACGGGATGCCGAAAGCCCCAGCGACATCGCGACGCAGATGCAGTCCTATTCACTGTTTGTGAAGTTCCACAAGGTGGCCGGCACCACTTGGCGTAGTTATGTCGACCGCATTACCGGGCAACTGGAACCGTGCAGCAGGGACTGTGGGTATCCAGCTTGGGACTGCCAAGAGTATTACCCGAACGACGAAGAGGCCTTCGAGAAATGTTGTAAAGTCCCCTGGCAGAACATCTCCTGCCCTAGGCCGGGGCTTGCCCACAGCTGCACTTATCACCAGAGCCTCGCTGTAATTCGACAGGCTGTGGCAGGGCAAGAGTTGACCACCGTAGCTCCAGACATGGCAGATCTGGGGAACCTCTGGCCGAGCTCAGACCGTTTAAAGCTGCTTTGGAATGTGGACTGGGCTCGTACCTGGCTGCCGTCAGATTTGCATAACAAACGCATTTTGGTCACAACGATCCTCCGAGAGCCCACGGAGAAAATCCGATCCTACTACTACTTCAAGAACCCCATCGCGTCACGTCAAGGCTTCAAGTCGTTCTTGGAGTTCCGCCGGGATTTCGTTTCTGGCAACTGGACACAGCAGCAGTTCGATAGTCAAGCTTCAGGGAAGGACAGAGGGTCAACCTCACTCCCCATCCTGCTGCGCTCCTGCTGTGAGTACGAGACCTGGCTCGGCAATGGGTCGGTCGAGAGGGCAAAGCTGACCTTGGGCACTCAATTCGACCTGGTTGGCATCACAGAGAGGATGGATGAAGGATTATTAAGCCTTGGCAAGCTCTATGGCCTGACAACGGAGCAAGTGGCTGCCGTAGGCCGAAGCATCCCGCATGAGCTGGACAACAGCGACAACAAGCTCGATTGGACCGAAGAAGAGCGTGCACTCGCCACATTCGTGGCCCAGAAAAGCACGGCAATCTACGGATTGGCACAGGAACTTTTCCAGCGCCAGTCCACTGCCCTCTTCGGCAGCGAGGAGAATCTGCAGGCGGCAGTAGCTGCCTTTAAGGCTCTCAATCCGGACGAGTGAACCGAAACCGCTTTCGAACAAAAACTGTTGGCCCAAGGGGAATTTGGTTGGTAGACTGTGAGCGGGTTTCTTCTCAAAGGTGTGTCGACATTCAATTTGCTCACTCAAGAGAGCTCTCCAGGCCTAGCACCGCCGCTTGAGGTGAAGAACCCTTCCATGGAAGCTTCTGCACACAAGCAGTGGTGCAGGCCGTCCCGCTGTTTTTTCATGGAGCAAGTCGCTTTGGTTGCATAGACTAGAAAAGTGCGAGTACATTCAGGTAAGTTGCACGCGACTGGAAAATGTATCTGCTTTCGTTTGCGAATCTAGTCGGGATGTTTACTGAGTTGAGTCGGCTGTGGCCTTTAGTTTGACGATCTGGCAGAATCAGTTTGTAGAGATGCTGACCTGAAACTCGTGCTTGCCGCCTGGTGCCAGGGAGCACAACATCGTTGGGCGTGTTTGGGTATCCGGCCTCGGCTGCTTTGTGACGACATGGTTGGTATTTCCGCTACACCGCGGTGCTTGTGCTCCTGCAATATTGCACTTCGCAAGGATACGCACTGTTTGTCAGTGATTTGCCTCTGGGGGCATCGCACGATCACAAGTCGGGATGAAAATACGTATCAGCTGTCTTTCGAATGATGCATACCGGACGAGGTCTCTTCCAGAGGCATCAATGTGCAGGTCAGCGGACAAACTGCGGACTGCGTGCTGTGCGCCAGACCCTTCGTAAGAGCGGGTTGTATGCCGCATGGGTCGAAAGAGAAGCTAGTTCATATGTCCCTGTCCCTGTCGCACCGGCATGTAGTTGCCACGGGCAGTTTTGTTAGACGCTGCGCATTGAACGTCTGCTAACCAACGGAAGCGGACTGAAGAGTTGAGATGCTGCTGCAGGTATACTGAATTCGTGGCCGGTGTCCCAGAGTTCGAAAGGCTTTTGTCGGCCATGGCCCGTGGACATGTCCAGCCCGCCTTGTGAGGCTGGGAGGTTTCGAGAAGCCAGAGCCAAAGGTGTCGCGACATTGGATTCACTAAGACCCATGTTTGATGATGTCCGTCATTTCGGTTCCGGCCCATCCAGTCGCAAGCTTCCACAGACTGCCTGCAGTATGTGGTGCATCGTGATCGCGCCTATGTAACTGAGTTCTGAATGGGTAGGTGCTTCGCTGCTCTGTAAACTTGATCCAGTCCGGCCCTCAGCGACATTGGGAAGATTGTTGGTTCACTGATATGTAAGATCTTCGCAGTGTGAGGAGTAGCATCTTGAAGCAAAGATGAGCTGATGTCCACACCGGAACCGGGCCCTGTTTCCTGAACCCTGAGCAGAAGAGCTTCTGGATTTCTCAGGTTTGAACCTGGTTTCCTACTAGTGGTGGAGTGGCAACAGCCTGGGGATCCTCATATCGCGGCTACAGCTAAAGGCTCCCAAGAAGTCAACCAACAGATGTCCCCAACTATTTGGCATTGTTGTTCGCGCTTCTTTGTATGAAGTTGCCCTTCTCCGAGCTTGTCCTTGCGCGTCCCTAGAGCTTGATGTCACTGCAGGGCTCAATGAAGTCTGACTTGTGAGCAAGCAACCAGCACCCCTCGCTTGGAGCGTCCCAGTTGCACGAGTCCAACGCCAATAAAACCTGGCTTCATTATCGTGCTGCTCGAACTTTTCGATTTTCGCATTGCATGTCAATCTCGGTACACCAGGCCACAACTACGCGGGCTTCGTTCTAGCCTGGCGGCAGGAATTTCAATCTTAATAATGATGAATGATGATAGTATTGGAAGAAGAAGCGCGAAGAGAAGAACCATGAAGTTACCTTGACAGTCAGGTCCCCGAACCAACATTTCCGAAGTTGCGGGTGAAGGCCGCGGAGTACCTTTTCGACGAACGATTTAGGATTGATTGCGCAGGCGGTTGTTTTGTCATTTCAAGGTATGTGGCTTCGGGATCGCCGGTTTGTACTGTCAGGTTGGAGGTGGTTTGGCGGCCGTTTTGGCTCTCCAGCATACCCGAAGAGACTACCAAGAACCCTTGGCGAAACCTACAGATCTTAGACAAGCCCGACGAAGGGTGTTTGAGCTCGTCAAGGTTTAACTTACGCAAGCCGTCACGCTCCTGGGAGGCCAAAAAGCTCATCTCTTTGTCGCCACGGTCCGGTCCGACATGTTTGGGAGATTGAACAACGGACAGATGCAGTGCATCTTGTGCTTCCTTGCTTGATCTGAAGTAGCATGGACCAGGAACCTTGCATCGTTCTTGCAATGCAATGACGTCTTGTAGATTCCTGTGCTTCCTTGGTCCGGTGATTCGTTTTTCCCCACAGGCCCATGGTGATGCGTTTGTTGACCGCACCGTGGGGCGGAGGAGCGGGATCCGCAGTTCACGGCCAAACTACCCAACTGTCCAACCTTCCGAAGGTATTTCTACGTGTATAGGCCGCACTTCGGGGGCTCCATCTCGCAACATCCCTTCACCGAGCGTTGCCGTGCACCCACAACCCAGGCACACAGACGCCCGGAGGCACAGACTCTATCTACGCTGCGGAAGCCATCCAGGATTGTGTCACGCGCTGTAAATCTTGACGCCACTTCGAGATCGGAGACCGCATCCACTCGACACGCGCAGCAAAGCAGTGCACGGCGTCCATCAGGCAGGTCCCATGCGCACTGTCCTCCCATCCCCCCTGGCCGACCCTGCCAGGCTTGATGACGGTCTTGATATGGAAGATCGAGGGAAGGAGCTGCTTAGTTGCCTTTCGACGCGACGTGTCAAGAGGCCGTGAGGTTCCCTCAGGATGCTGGCCCCCCGCTCCGGGCCCAGTCCGAGACAGTACCATTTGCTAGACGCATCGTCGCTGCTGCTGCATCTGGAGTTTGTGCAACATTGCTTGGCATTGGCTGCAGGACTTGGAGCCAGCAGAGTGGCAAAGTCGCTTGCAAGGCGCTCCTATGGTCTCCTGACCCGGGTTTTCTTGGCAAAGCTGCCCTTCCAAGGTGGCTGGCTTTCCACGAAGTGCGACACATCTGTGCACATATTCTGCTGTACTCTGTGTGTGTGTGTATATATTCATACATATATATATACACTTATATTATATATATATATTTCTATCTCGAAAGATAGATGTCGTGTGTGTGGGTAGTCGTGACCCCAAAGCCCAGGCAAAATGACGGTTCCTGGTTTTTTTCAACATGACCAGAAAAGGAGGGGAATTTGCCATGCAGGCCTCAAAGAAGGCAAGTGCGGGGCCCCGGCTGTGGTTTTCGGGAGGATGATGCAAAGTGGTTTTGCCAGATTTTGAGGGTCGGGTTTCTTGGATTAGGTACGGGCTTCACCACGGGACTGCAGGGAAGCCATGAGAGTCCTTCATATGAACCGCTGCCGCAGATTGTGCAATACGCATGCTGGACAGTCAAATTTGAACTGCCAGCCGATCAGACAGACTCCAAGACCTTGCTGCGGATTGTAGATTGAAGCCACACCCTTTTACGACCTTCATTGTCAACTTATGCTGCATTTCAGCTGCCTTTTGCTTCTTGTGCTCCCGTCGTTGCTTGTGGCCCTTGGCTGTGGAAAGGCTGTTCAAGCTTGCATCCTGTAGTGCTAGAGATGACCCGCGAGGAGGGGCCCAGCTCCGGAGCCGTGACAGTGGGATATAACGAGCTGAAAAAAGTCAGCTTGCTGAAAAGACCGGGGACAATGGTAAGTAGACGTTATAAAGTAAGGTAAAAAAATTCGATTCAACTGATTACAATACGTACAGCTCCAATGGAAACCTCCTTACCAAGAGCCCTTAACTGACAGTGAGCAGTTCTGGTGCCAGAAGCTAGAAGCTTCCTCAGGCCAGGAAAGGTCCTCGACATCCGAAACAACTACGAGAGCAGCTGGCCTGCTTAACTGCACACATATACATGCTAGTTTCATCGGCTCGCTCTTGGCTGAAGCAGTTCCGGCAACATCGTGGTCAAGTTAAAGTCTTGCAGGCTGCAGGTCAAGGCTTCCCCGGCCGTGTCAAGGCGGCCTTGACCAGGCAAAGAGGTTGGCGACCTCGCAAGAGGAATCTCCACAAATGAGACCACCCATATGTCATTTCGTGGTGGACTGCCGAGGCCTTGCCCGACAGTCGGCTGAAGCACCCGTTTTCCAGCATGATAATGTCTCTGCTGCTCTGTGAAGTAGCCAGTACAGCTTCAGGAGAACATGCACGCACAAAACTTTATGGATCCGATGCAAGCAACAATGGTCCAGACAAGGAGCAGTGGGGGGGGGGGGGAAAAGACGCAGGGCGAGACAATGCACATGAAGACGAATAGTTCAAGTGTACAGCACAGGGCAAGTGAGGCTAATCCAGCACTGTAGGCTCCTAAACCCATCAGACTAGATGACATCATCAAGATCACGGTCATCTTCAAGTTCGTCATGAGCACCATCATACCCCCTCAAAAGCAAAATCAGATATAGACCCATACTAACCTGTTCTCTTATTATCGTAAAACACCATAAAGGGAATATATCGAAATATATTGTGCTAATAGGCTGAACTCATTTCTGGGTTATAGAAGAAAATCTAGATTTTAGTAAGGGTCAAATAGTATTTTACACTATGCGATTGTTATTTTACGGTATGGTATGCTCTGTTAGAACCCACTATACTCTATTTTATCAAAAACTATATAGAGCAGAATAGGATGCCTTTGCGTTTGTTGAAACACAGTAAAGGCATGCTAGAACATATCATGATGAACTACAAGATGATGCAATATAACAGAATAAAAGATGCTGTAAATACTAGAACAGAATAGAACAAATTAAAACAAATTAAAATATGATATATGTATATGTATATATATA